CACAGACATATCCAGAGATGTGTTTCCATGGTGACTCTCAATCCAGTCAAGCTGACGAAGATTAACCATCACAACCGTGAAGACGTGGAAAACCACCCAGACCTGCAATCATCAGTGATGCTCAGCAGACCCGGCAAAGCTGGTGCCCGTACAGCCTGGATGCTTGGTTTGCAAAGGAATTGCTATGTGCACGTGCGGTAAGGGAGTGTGGGCATCAAAGCATTGTGAGTGAGGCTTGACCCGCAGGGAGAGTTGGCGTTTAGCCTTGGAAACGCGACTGTATCTGCGTGTCATTGGGGAGAAGCTTTAATTAGTAAATGCACACATACTGATGGTTTGGACTTACAGGGTTTGGGGTTTATGATACACATCCAGCAGGAACTGTATCTTGAGTTTTGACATTTTTCCGGGATGGTAATACACAGTACAGCTCTCTGGGGACACAGGGACCGTGGGACCCTGATACAAAGGCCTTCCGTGCTGTGCCCTGTGCTGCTCAGCTGTGCTGTGCAGGAGGCAGCTGATCATCCCCTGGTTAAGAATGGTTTGGGAGATGGAACATGTCGTAAGTAAATCATACAGTGTCTGTGCTCTGCTTCGTAGCTCAATTCTCAGCCAGTTGTTTGGTTGTCTTTAAAAAGAGCCAGTTAAGCCGGGCAGGGGTGGCACACGCCTTTAATCCCAGTACTCCGGGGCCAGAGCCAGGCGGATCTCTGTGAGTTCAAGGCCAGCCTGGTCTACAGAGCGAGATCCAGGACAGCCAAAACTTTTACACAGAGAAAGCCTGTCTCAAAAAACCAAAAAGAGCCCATCAAAATCCGTTCACAGATTTTAAACTAATGACACATGATCTAAGGTGCCTGGGAATCACTTGTTTTGCACCAGAGCAGGAGAGGAATTCGCCCTCTGCTTCTTCATGGCACCCACCATCATTCCCAGGGGATGTCGGTAGTCATTGACAAATTCCCAGCAACCTGAATGATGCCAGGTCCTCCACTGCTCTGAACTGCCATTTCCCGTCCTGTTCAGTCCTCCCCATCCGGTCAGTTTGACCCGCAGCAGCAGCAGCAGCAGCAGCAGCAGCAGCAGCAGCAGCATGAGTGAGGGTCTCCTTCCCTTCTTCCCCTGGGCACACCAAGTGAGCCCTACAGCACATCTGGCCTGCATTCCAGCCATCACAGTCTCAGGATGCTTCAGGATGATACCTGCTCTACAAGGAGCTCTTGGTCCGTGGCCCGTAGTCAGTGAATGACCCATGGGAAATCTCTTCCACTTTAGGGAGTAATTCCGTGCTCCCTCGTGTAAGCCAGATAAAAAAGAACATCATGTACAAGATGGAATCTCTTCTCTCAGCGTGTCCCACCCACCCAGTAGGTATAGAAACAGGTCTCATGAGTTGTCCTTTAAAAATTTTTTCTTTCATTATTTGTCTGTATTATCTGAGCTTCTGGGTATCTAGAGTTCCATTTCTGGAATGGTGGGCTGGTTTGTAGCTGACTATTCTGCTGAAAACAGAATCTGTCTGTCTGTCTATCTATCCACACACATTAGGAAACTACCAAGACAAAATATGAGGGTCAGGACTCAGAGAGGAGGGCAGTTTACTGATGTAGGCTTGGGGGGGGGGGGGGGCAAACCGCCTGAGGCGTTTGCTAGTTCAGTGCCCAAGTGCTCGGGGGCCAGCAGTACTTCCCTAGGCAGGGAGAAAGGTGATTCAAGCCTGTTCGAGCTCAGGATTCCAGGTGCAAAGGTCCCAAACGAAAGTATGTGTGAAGTGACACCTGCCACCCAATCTGCCTTTCCTCATAGGGTGTTTTATAAGGATGTCCCTAGTGGCCATCCTGAGTGAAGGCAAGCAGAAATGGGTGACCTAGAGGCCAAGACCCAAATATGGACGTATACCCTATGCAGGAGGAGGGCAGTAGGCACACCAGCCTCATTGTGGCAATGAGCTGGGATGAAAATGAAGAGTCAAAAGGGCAGAGGACCCCTGCTGCCACAGGGGTCTAACTCCGGCTGTATGGCAGACTGTGTGAGGGAAACGGTGGGATTCGGGTAGTGATGGGAACCACTGCAGACCCACACCTGTATCTGCACCCAGTGGGAACATTCCTTGGAAAGTGGAACCACTGCAGACCCACACCTGTATCTGCACCCAGTGGGAACATAACTCAGAAAGCGAAGATAAAGCAAACGCTTCCAGGCACCGAAAACTCTTGAAACTCTTCCTGGTGGACCCACAGGAGATACTAAAAGGATCACTTGGTTGCAGGGACACGCACTACTCACAAGTGTTGAATGTGTGTGTGTGGCAGAGCAACGGGGAATGAAAACCTGGCCTGTGGGCAAATCTACAAGACTATGAAGTGCATAGACTAATAATTCTTTGGTATTTAAAATATATGCATTGCTGAAATGTGAGAAAATGATGCAAAACAATGATTATCGGGAGTTAAGCATGCTGTTTGCACATATCCTTCATTACGTTGTTAATTATATATTTTATCAGTATTTTTGAAGGTTGTGTTAGATTATAGTGAGTCGGGGATGCACATTATATTCTCTCACACAACCTTCAAAATAATGATAAAATATATAATTAACAATGTAATGAAGGGAAATGGAATAAAAATGCTTTCCTCATCCAAGTGAGATGAATGAAGGGAAAGTTCAGGTGTGTGATACAAATGACAAGCAGTTAAAACAAACTCATCCAGAATGGGCTCCCATTAAATATGAAGGGTCTGGGTAGTCCTGTTTCAAGGCAAAGGGTCCTATACATCACCTAAAAACACACACCTTGAATATGCTACAGAGAAGAGGGTGACAGATGATAGGATGATAGGAAACATTAGCCCGAGAGAGAGAGAGAGAGAGAGAGAGAGAGAGAGAGAGAGAGAGAGAGAGAGAGAGAGAGAGAATATGGTTTACACTCCTAGATGCAGGACAGATGAAACCCACAGAGAGAGGAGGGACATTATGTAGCACTAAAGGCTTAAATCCACCTGGGAGATAAACACGCTGGTCACTGTAAGACTTGACAATTGGCAGAACTAAGGGATGAATTCCTCCGTGAACTTTGACAGACCTCTATTGGTGGCAGGCAGACAGACATGCAATCAGTGCTTAACTATGTGGTTAATAAACTACGCGATTGATTCGGTCAGACAGTATATCCAACTGCAGAACTCACCTTTCATGCTCCAGGTGGGAAAGTCTGCTATATGCATCCATGAAGTACATTTTTGGTTGTGAGCCTAGCCTTTAACGGCTGAGCCATCTCTCCAGCCCTATGAAGTACATTTTTAAAAACAAACCTGCCATCATATTTTTCAGCATCTCCCCCAGACCGTGGTTTGTGATGAGAGGTCTCTCCAGCTGCAGTTCAAAATTTAGGTAGCAGTGCCCATGTGGCCACCATGTCTGTATAACTGTGTGACACTCTCACCTTGAGGGAGTGCTGTTCAGTCAGGTCTGGGGCCAGTGAAGGAAGGCTTTTCACCCTTCAGGGGCACATTTTACACTGACTACCCACAGCCAGCTCATCCCTTTCATTGTGATAGCTGATACTAATATCTTTGCTTCTGCTCATGGATTTAGTTTTTAACTATATGTGAATGTCCCCAAGAGGAGCGGTTATGCGTCTCTGCAGCTCTCAGAGGATGCCTGAGAACATCCAAGTCTTAATGACACTGAGATGCGACATTTTGCACTGGTTTTGGCGTCTTTGTGGAGAGGAGATGGATGAAGTGGAAGGACGTTCTCCCCTTGAAGATAGCTATAATACAGGATCTGGTGTGATTAGAGCACAGGATGTGGAAAGGGAGAAGACAGTCTGTGGTATCTTATAAATAAGGCAGAACCCTGCAAAACCTGTACCCTTTAACACCTAAATAACTCAACTTAGGGTTACATGGAAAAAACAATTTTCTTTTATGAATGGATAACAAAGAGTGTGTGTGTTCCTAAGGACAGGTGGTATGGAGCTCACCGGTGGCTCCATGCCTTTCTAACGAGCTCAGGAGCACCTGCGCCATGCTGTTCTCCTGGGCTTGACCCTCTTCTCCTCCTAGATGATGCTCTCTGTGTGGAGAGACGAGATTTACTTGAGAAGCTGTGCATACCTGTCATTCCCGCTGCTCCACACCCCATGGCTCCTGGGCAAGGTTGAGAACAAAGAGCCCAAGCTTTCCGTGTGTGCGGCCGGGTGCAGGAAAAAATTCTGGACAGGCAGGGTCTCTACTTGCAGCATCAGAAACTTTACACTCTTCTAGGGGTCACTATGAGGCTCTCCGGGATGTACAGTGACCAGATGACCATCCTCCCTGCCTGCCACTCAGCTATTCTTGGCCAGTAGCCAGACTGAGGGGCCCCATTGGTTATGGGCCCCTACGCTGGAAGGAAGTACCTTTTGGACAGAAACCTGTGACTTTGGGGTCCTGTGGTACCCTTTGTCAAGGATGATATTTATGGAGCTGGAGGAAGGTTTGTGGGGAGCTTTGAAGGTTGTGGTGGAAATGGCTGGTGGGGACATCAAGTCCCTCCAAGGCTGTTGCAAAGTCCAAATGAGCCCCAGAGACACTGGCATAAGGGATGGAGCCCCACAGACCCCATGGTAACTGACCAAGGCCAAGAGAGTCTCTTGGCTTGTGGAGTTGGTAAAGTGGGTCTTTGGATATCTACCAACCCTCAGAACCTCCCTCTGGCTGTTATCAGATGTGGCCCTCCTCTAGGAACAAGCAGATGGGTCCTGAGAGCTACCCTGGAGCCAGGCTCTGGCTCATGCCTTGCAACATCACTAAACTCCATCTTGACACCCAGGAGGGAGCTGAAGGTGCACCACATGGAGTATCTAGAGCTTCAGCTCAGGGCTTGGCCCACTGGCCGAGATCTATGTAAGGTCCTCATCATGGTCAGGCTGGGATTCAAACCCAGGCTGGGCCTACTTCAGAGCCTGTGTTCTTACTGAAACATCACTCCTGAGATCTAGTCAATTCCTCTCAGTCCACACGGGAAATGCGAAAGAGGCAGGGCCGCAGGGGTGAGGTGAGATGAGGCTCTGTCAGGGTGAGGGGTGGAAGAACTCAGTCTCCAAGGGAGGTCTCCTCCCCAAGTGAGGAGGAGGCCCAAGAAATGTCCTGGTCATGAGTAGGACAGGCCTTCATGCATGGTGCTTGGGACCATGGTATGGGTGACAATCACTTCGAGGTCCTAACTGTTTCGGGGAAAGGGAGAAACACACTTTTGATTTGGTTGAGAAGGGAGTCCTTCAATAACTTGGCCTAGGATCCCTTAATTTGGACTTGTCCCGTCAAATACCCCTGCAAAGCTCCAGCTCATCCAAGAGCTGCTAAGAAGAGCCTCTGTGGCAAGTGGCATTCTCACTTCACCTCAGTCCAGCAGGGGACCTGCATATTAGGGGCCACTTGCCTGTTAGATCCAGGCCACCTTCAGGTCTTCCTATGTTTTGAAGGATTCTGTCCAGAACAGACACTTTCCCAAAATTATCACTGCTTGAACTCTTCCTTTCTGTGGGAAAAAATATACCAGGATAAAGCAGCACAGTAGGACTTTTTTTCAACTTCAGAAACAGCTCAAGCTGAGGATTCAGCTCGCTGGTAGAGCCCTGGCCTAGCATCAGTGAAGCTCTAGATTTGATCTGTAGCAACACAAAACGACAACATTAAAAAAAAAAAAAAAAACCCAACCTCTAAGACCCTGTGAGAAGAATGAGAAAACCACAGTGGCCGAAGAGCGTGGACACTGACTCTATAATCCGCTGGAGCTGAGGGAAGCCACCTGCCCTGCATCTCAGGGAGAGGATGGCTTGCTGCTGGCCAGGCTTCCTCATCCGAGCTCCTCTGTTCCAGGGTATGCTATAGTTGCCTTCAGTGACTGTGTGTTCAATCCACGTGCTGGAATCTCCTGTCTTCTCCCAATGTGCTGCTTCCTGATTGTTCCAACAAGGCTGTGTGCACCTCACAGGCACACTGACGGCACATGGAGGACACACAGATATCCTGGAATAGAGCGGAGCAGTGGCCAAAGGCATCCGGACCGTTGGTACGTTGTCTGTCCTTCTTGCCAGTGAGTCTCAGAGCCTTTCTTGGCTTGTCATGTTCTCACAGGGATGTCTCTGCCTGGCCTTTAGTCAAATAGCCCCCACGAGCTCTGCATGCCCCTCAGTGTGAATGCTCATTCATTCATTCATTCATTCATTCATTCATTCATTCAGCCTGTCTTCCAGCTCCCACAGGAGGCCATCTCCACAATGGACACTCACACCCCAGGGTGGCAGGCCCTGACAGGAAGCGGGAACAGAATCCTTCCTATGCCCAGGAACCCGGTGGCCCGGAGCTCCGCCTGGTAGCTCTCTTTGAATTTTTAGGAGCAAGCTAAATTAGGAGCTCCCTTGCTGCTGCCAGTTAGCTTTTTCTAAAAATTACAAGGTGTGACTCAGGCTGTGGGAGGCAGGGGAGCCACAGTGATGGCCGATGCTGGTCCCAAGGAGGACTCCAGGTGGAGCTGAACGCTCTGCCACTTTGGCCCTCTTCCATGAAGCAGGGTGTGGACCACAAGGTCAACTGCCTTTCAGTTGTAATGCTACCTCCCATTGCTAGTGTCACGGGGAGGTGTCAGTCCTGTGGGCTTCTGTCCTTCACTCTTATTTGAATCTCCTAGGCTATCTAAAGCACCCGAGAGTCTGGCATCCCATCACTCGAGATGCACCACCAAGCCTCTCCCGGCTAAAGGAGAGGAAAGCCATGGTTTTGGAAGTGGAAAGTCTTGTCTTAGATTGGAGGGAAAGAACAGCAGACGAGCTGCCTTCAGGTTTTGCAGAAGTGTGGTTCCTGAGTGCCAACTGGTACCCAGGCCCAAAGATGTTCATGTGGCACTGTGTGTAACCTGGTGATTCCCTTGACACTTGGAAGCACATCCGGATGATATATAAGCACTAATACACTATAAATGTTAGGAAAATACTTTGCTGTATTGATGGGGCAATCAGGACAAGAGAGTGTTCAGTACAGAGAACATTTTTGGGGGGTCTATTTTTGATCCCCAGTTGGTTGAATCTTCTGATGTGGAGCCTGAGGCCCGAGGATAAGGAGAGCGTTATTATGAATAAAACAGTGCCTGAGAACCAAGGGGAGATCTCCCCTAGCCACACTGCCGTGGGCTGTCACTGGGGCAGCTTTGTGTTATTGGGGGAATCCTTGCTAGGACACGTCCCCATGTCTCCCCTGTCTTTGCTCATCCCAGCTTCTGCATCTCACTCTCCCATCCCTCCTCCACCACCGACAATGCTTCCGGGTGATGGAGCCTCTACATCCGACCACACTTAGAGTCCACACTTCAGCTCGGCTGTCGCCCGAAGTCGATCACGATGTTTCCCTCCTTGCACCTACCTTGGTATTTTGTGTCTTCAATCCCATTTCTCACACCTGTGAATAATCTCCAACATCTTAGTAACATTTAATGCTGGAACCTTTCATAGGCACTGGTTTCTCTCCCACAAATTTCAGCATGTGTTTTCATTTTTATTCGATTAAAAATATTTCCAAATTCCTCTTTTGACTTCTTTACACAGTGGGCCATTGAGGAGCGTGCTGTGTAAATGAGCAAATATTTAGACAATTTCCCCACGTCTCTTTACATCACTGATTTCTCCTTTATTTCTGTTGTGGCCAGAGAATGGTTTTGGTATGTTTTAATTGATCTAAATTGTTTGCTACTAATTTCATGGCTAAAAGGCCATGTGCGCTGGTGAGTGACCCACGTGCAGCTGTGAAAAATGAGATACTAAAGTCAGAGGGAATAAAAATCAGATTTGAGGATTGTTGATGTTTGGGGTCGTAACTGCCAGCCTGCTGGTTACTTTGCATTTGCCTGATTTTGCCATTTTTCTCCTTCTCTTCATCTCCTCCTTCCTCTTCTTCCTCTTCCTCCTCCTTTTCCTAGTCATTCTCCCAGCTTCTTATTTCCCCCATTGTTTTTTTTAATCATTCCATTTATTTCCCTCTGCTGACTCGGTCTACACACCTCGCCCCATTAGTGCTGGACTTTGTCTTTATGGCCACTCACTCCTACTGGCCTGTATGTGCTGCTTGTGACTCCATGTGTCAGGACTTCAAAATGGTCTGCTGCCGCCCCTTGTGCTACCGGGGACATGCATTTATTTTCCATATTTGTTCCTTTTATGCATTTCCTCCCTCCCTTCCTTCCTCCTTCCTGCTCTGCCCTCCCATTTCCTTCCCCCCTTTCCTATTTTTCTTCTCCCCTTTGGCGATGAAGTGATATATTAGAGTGCTTGGAAGTAACAGGAACCGCGTGTCTTTCCATCTACGTTTATTTTTGATACTTTCCTGTCTGTTCAATCCACATCTCAGTCTCCCTCTCAATGTTTCTAATTCCACAAACCTGCAAATGACGCTTATTTTGGCTTTCATTTTCCTGAAAATCTTTGAAAGATGCTGTCACTGGGCATGGGATTCATACTTTCGTGTTTCAGTGACACTAGTCCAGCATTCTCTAGAGAGCATGATTTCTGACCAGTTTTAGATATGCATACAGGAGCCCAGCAAACCCACCCAACACACACGTAACATCATGACGGAGCTGCGGACAGTTATCAGTGACATCACTGATAGAAAAGGCTTGTTAATTAATCCTCAAAATAGTGTCCTTGGAAAGTAAGACCTATGTACATGTTGAACACTCAGAGAGATGCTGAATGGTTTTAAAAAACACATGGATACACCAATTTTACTTATTGGTTAAGTTGTCAATGGAGACTCCAGTTGCTCCTACAGTTAGCAGTTGTGAGCTGTGGTTTTGTGAACACGGATGTGCAAAAACATCTTCCGGATTGCTCCGTTCTTTTGGGTGTAATTGTGTCACCGTCTGACAACTGGGCTCATCTAGCCTTACTGTCTTGAGGAGGTGAAGCGCTGTTTCCCACTGTGGTTCTACGGTTGTGCCTGCTCACAGACAAGGCATGCTGGTCCATTGCTCTGCATCTTCACCCTACCTGCCATTGTTCACTCTCTTGGTGGCAAAGATGATACCCTGTTGAAACTGAAGGGACAGTTATTTATATAGTGAACACCCTTGTGTGATTCCAGCACTTGCCATAGGTCCACAGCTAGAACCACTTCTTCCCACAGAACAGGGTGTGTTGTAATCACAAACTCCAGCTTGGAGTTCTACACCGTCGTAAGAGTAGTCTCTCTCATTACCCTGCATGTGGGGCAAACACGTGCTGGCCGGCATTCGTGAGCCATCAGGACATTCTGGGATGGCTTACTCGAGTAGCTGGAAGACCACCCCAGGTCTGAACGTGCAAATGAATCCTGCTCTCTGAAAGATGGATCCTGGTGTGATCACAAAATCCCACTTCTGGGTTCTTCATGATCATGAACTGCAGAGAATTTCTCAGGGGACGATGTGTACAGTACAAGTGCCACACGCTGAGTGTCCGCTCCAGCTGCTGGGACCATTTCCAGAGCTGTCTTCCTCCTACCTTCAGCCACTGAGGTCTTCTCTTCATCTCCAGCTTTTCGTCCATCATGGGGCAGCTTCCACACCCTCAGGTGGTGCTGGTGAAAAGGAGCCTTGTTCCCACACCACCAATACTGCAGTTCTGATCTCTACATCCTAATAACTGGTGGTGGTGATGTCTTTGCTAGGAGCTGCTGTCTACTGCAATATTTTCTCTGGAGAATTGTACATTCAAGTCCTTTGCCAATCTTGGATTGGGCAGCTTGTTTATGCTATGTTTTAGTTCTCGGAATGTTCTAGAAATTACCCCTTTATAGGAGATACCACCTGTAAGTTATTCAGCCTTAAAAAAGGAAGAAGGTTCCGTAGTCTAGAGCAACACTGGTCACTGTAAGATCAGTGTGGTAAGTGGGATAAGCAGACAGGAGAAGACAAAACTGTGTGAGTCCACATATCCAGAACCCTCATAGAAACAGAAAGTAGAGCACCTCCCAAGAGTGGAGGGGAGGGGTTAATATTTAATGGGTACAAGATGAAAAGATCTATGAGATAGTAGAGGTGCAGGGTGTGCATTATAATGTGTGTAACGCCACTGAACTGCACAGTTCAAATCATTGTGACGGCAAGTTCCACTATATATGTATTTTTAATGAAGAAAAAAGACAAATGAATTCAAATGTCGAGAAATGAACAAAAACAGACAAACTGAAACAGTCAGAAAGTAGAAAGAACAAGCCTTATGTCAGAGAAAGCAAATGAGGTCCCTAAAGCTTTAAACGCAGAGCAAATTCTTTTTAGTACTGAGCGCTGGAAGTCATAATGAATATAAAACATCCATGAACATCTATGTGTCAAATAATAGATACCACACTTAGGAAGTAAAACCTACAAAAGTGCATCGAGACATACGCAGAAGACATTTGTAACAGGATAACAATGTAACACTCTCAATAGAAGACTCAGTGGATAAAAGATGAGAGCAGGGAACAAAATAATGTGGCCAATAAAGTCGAAGTCACAAACACACG